CCTGAGCCTTGGAAGATGGCGGCGGCAGTGTCGCTCTGGTGCAGTGTAGAGATGTGAAGGCCCGGAAAAATGGGGGGGGGGGAACGGTTTTTCCCCGTTTTTTTCCTGAAGCCTTTTTGTTTTTTTCCGAAAAATTGGAAAAATTGAAAAAAAAGAAAAGAAAAAAAATTGATTATGGAACGTTTTATTTTAACATGATTAATAAAATATTTTAAGACAAGGTGTTCAAATATTTTTCAAATCATTTCTAAAATATATATATATGGTATCAGATTGATCTAATTTCTGTGCACTGAGGACAAGTAAGTCCTAGGTTACAAACTGAACTCTCCAATGCAAGAACAAGATGCATTTCTTCCTTTAGGAGGTGCGATTGTCAGAAGAAAATAAAAACGTTTCAGTTTTGTTTTTGCGTGTGGGTGGGTATTCTGTTTGTAATAATTGTTTGGATACACGATATTTTAAATATGCTAGTTGTGATAATTTCATGCCAAGTAAAGTCCATAGTCATATTTTATGTTCCTAAAGTAACAGAATGACTTTCAATCTGGAAAAGACAAAAGAAATGGTAATGTAGCAATTTTTTTCAATTTTTCCGAAAATTTCCATTTTTCCCTGAGAAAAACCGGAAAAAAACCGTTTTTTCCCCCGAGCTTCAAAATTTCCGGAAATTTTACATCTCTAGTAGTGACCTAGTCATCGGTGGTGGTTCCCAGTTTCTCCTTGGCAACTATGCAGGAAGACAGCTAGATTCGCACCCAGTAGCACCCAACGAGCTTCCGAGAGTCAAAACTCCCTTTGTCAGATTTATAATTCCGGGAATGGACCTTACCAAATACCTGACAAAAGGTCTCGAATCTAGCTGGGTTACTGTAGGCCAGGACGGCCACCCTGTACAACTATGCAGGGAAGCTTTTATCGGTTGGTTTAGTTATCTCAGGCCACATGTTCTGTGGGAAGACGGACATGACCGCGCATTAAACTTCAGTGAACTTCTTTGCAAGACTTGGGGTGGGGTGGGGGAGCACAGTTATCTGTTCGTGGCGTTCCTCTTCACCAGTTTTTTTCTGGGACGAATTTCTGCGCCATCCTGTCATTCGACCCGTTTCTCCCTTCCCCGTCTCCACAGATGACCGTAACTTCCTATGGACTAGTGCAGGGGTGGCCAAACTGTGGCTTGGGAGCAACACGTGGCTCCCTGGGTAGGCTTGAGGTGGTGGGAGCAGAGAAAGAAAGCAACTTTAACTTTAAATGTGTTCTCA